CCCGCGCCCTCCTGCCTCCTCCCTGCGGGCGCCTCCCCGCCCGGCCGGCCCGCCCCGCGCGGAGAGCGGGAAACTGAAAAGCCGAAAAGCGCGCTGGAAACTTCCCAGGCTTGCTTTCGCTTCCTAGAAGCACCGCGCGGTCCAGAACACCCGGAGCCCTCGGAGCCGGAGGCCAAGCCCCCGGCTCTGACCCACCGGCCGAAGTCCAGAGGAGCACACCTTGCTGACCAAGGCCATCTGTTCCAGGGAGGCCCGGCCTGGCGCCCCCACGGCCCCTGGGCCCAGGGCTTTCTCCCTCAAGGCGCGGCCTGCCCGCCCGGACAGCTTCCCCCTTCCTCTCTCGGGGACAGGAGGAAGGTCTGTACTGGCAGAGAGGCGTCCACCGAGACTCCCCTTCCCCCCTGCTGGACCACGAGGACCAAGATTATCCTGTGAGCCGCAGGCCGGACCTAGACAGCAGGCAGGGATCCAGGCCCGACTAAGGGCCACCAGGGTCTGTAAAGTGTGGACAGAGGGCCCTCTTCCTCGGGGTGTCGGAGGGACCAGTGGGGACGTGGGCCGAGAATGCCCTAGGCAGGAAGTCGGCTCCTAGCTTTTGCAGCAGCCTGACAGGCAGGGATGCTGGGACTGCACCCTACCGGTCGCGCACGAGTGAGCGTTTCTGACTGGGAGGGCACGGCTGGGGCAGGGGACAGGGCACTCCTAGGCTGTTCCTCTGGATGGCCCCTGTCCTGCACACCCGCAGGCTGGTTCTCTCTTCCCACAGGGGCCACACTGCCATCCCCAGCTGGCTCAGCAGCCCCCTCTGGCCCTGGGATCCCCTTTAGGTGACACGTCACTTCCCTGTCTGCACTTGAAGCCCCTTCCTGAGGACTCCAGGCAGCCCTGCCACCGTGCACAAGGACGGCTGGGTGGCTGCAGTAGGACAGTGTCCATGCGTGGGTCAGCCCCACGGGGCAGCCTGTGGCAGGCAGGCCGAGCCTGAGCAAGGTTTGCTAAAGGTTGACACTCAAGGAGAGATGGGACCTCACAGGGGGCCACTGGCATCCCCAGCAGATAGGTCGTGGAAAGATGGTGTTCCCGTACACGTGAGTCCCTGTTGGTGCAACGAATCTTAACTCCGCGCACAGCTTTCTTGTCATGCGCATTCTCATGAGCTTTTTGAAGACCCCTTGGGTGGGACAGGGGGCCTTACACCATGGCTCTGCTTTCCTCCACTGGCCGGCCCTGGGAGACCTGGTGGCCTGGCTGCCCTCAGTCCCTTCCTGTCTTCCCATGGGCTCCCAGGGTTACCCCAGGGTTGTCCCAGACCCCCCGGCGGCCCCTGTGGTGGTCACCGGACCGCTGGAGTCACTTCCTTACCCTGGAGCTCCCAGGAGCCCCCGCCGCTCCCAGTCCGCCGCTGACCCTCAGGCACAGGCCCCGCGAGGCCGAGGGGCACTCACCCACGCTGGCCTGACTGCCCCTCCCAGGCCCGGCCCAGCCCCAGGACCTGCAGCTCCTGACCTCGAGGGCAGGCCCCGCCCCGCCCACCCACATTCTGCTCCAGGGTTCCAAGATCCGTGAGTCACACTGCTCCCGGGTCCGGAATCTTCCCTCCTGCCCCGCCTCCGTGGACGGTCCAGCTAGCTGAGTGCCTGGGCTCAGTCTACAAAGGCCAGGACAAGGCTCCCGCCTGCCATGGGAATGGCCATCGGGACTCACCCTTGGTCTCGGTGGGCCGCAGGCATGTAGTGGATCCGGGGTAAATCCTGCCGTGTGCCAGGCTGAGAGCACGAGGGGGGAGGGTGGACGACCACAGCCCGGCAGGAAGGGACAGTGGGTGGCCCCTGGAGGGTCAGGTACAGGAGAGGAGGCAGGCCTCTCCCAGGGAGACCTCGGACCACCACCGGCTAAGCAGGGGTGGGAGGGACACCCTCCCCGACAGGTCCTGGGGCCACGCCCTTCCCAGACCTCGCCCGCGTGTCCCCACCTGTCCCGTCAGAGCCCTCCTAATACGCCGGTGCTTCCTCACAGCGTCCCCCGAGTTCTCGAGCTGGTCCCACAGATTAGCTGCTCTCAAGAAGGGGATTGTGGGAGCAGAGGGGGGCAGCTTGGGGCACGTACTTGCCAGAGAAAGACAGAGGCAGACGGGCAGAGCACCTGGCTGTGGTGTGGCCACACTGCAACCCCTCCTCCCCCACTTCCCATCCTGCTGGGATTTGAACCATGGTCGGCCATATAGGGTCTAGGTCCCTTAACCATTAGGTTATGGGACCGACCCGCAATTTCTGTTTTAAAATGCCTGCCGACCTGAGCACATTCATCCTCCCTTTCTCTGCATTAAATTCTCTTTAAAAAGGACAGAGGATCCTTTTTCTAAAGGGTAAATGCTGACTTGTATTTGGGAATGGTGGAAGTGTCCTTGGAGAATGGAAAGCAATCTCAGGGAGACGTGGGGAGGAATGCTGAGGGCAGATGACGGAGGGCCTGGAGGACGCAGCGACTCCCTGTGCTAAGCAGCAAGTGCGTCCTTTAAGAAACGAACATTCAGACAGATCGCGAGAGAAAGCTCCAAGTCTGAGGGGCTGGACGGGGAGCACCATGGCGTGCGCGGCCTGTTCCTGCGTGTGCTGAGAGGGGCACACAGCCACCCGCCTCCTGTGCTTTGAGCTGCTCAGACCCAATTTCGCATCCCTTCTCGGCCTGGGCCTGGGCCCTGCCGCTGCCTCCAGGCTGCTACGGACGAGGGTCCAGCCACGGAACAAGTGCCTCCTTGGGGAAGGGATGGAACTTCCACACACAGAAGCCACTTCCTTCTCTGCTAACTGCCCACCGACACATGCACAGAGAGCCCGATGGGTGGGGTTGCCCCGCCATCCCCTGTCCTCCGTCTCTCCGTGTGTGGGCTTTGGTCACACGTGCACAGGTGCCTGGTGTGAACTTCAGGCCACCAGGTCTGGCGTATGAGCTGTGGCGAGCTGTGTGGGACCTGGTTCCCTTAACCACTGGGCCACGGGGCTGACCCGGGAGCAATTTCGAGTAAAAACGATGTCCACCCACCCCACTAGCAGCCTGTGGGAGTCTCAGCATTTCCTGGCCCGTTCCTGTTTGGAGTCATCATCTCCTGGCTTGGCTGACACTTTCACTTAAAACTTTTTTTTAAGTTTATTTACTTATTTTTTCGTGAGTGTGAAGACAGGAGAGAGGGCATGCACACGCCCTGACTCACCGCAGCCTGAGCCAGCCCTGGACCGTGGGCACACATGTGCCTGGCTTACTCAGGGAGGGCTCGGGATATGAACCCGGAAACTTCCCATGTGAGTCCCTCGCAGAGCACTGCCTTTCACCGCGCACCACCGCCAGGCCCCGGAATGCCCACGTTTTCTCAGAGATCGATGGAACTCACAATGTTTTGAGAAGAGCCTGCTGGTTCCTGTGTTGGGTTGCTGCCACGCAGCGCGATTCCGAGGCTGATGGAAACAGTGGGGAGGAGACCTCGAACACGCAGGCTTTGGCGGCAGGAAGCGCGTCTTTTCCACCTGCTCCTTCCGTGACGGCAGCCCGCTGCTCCGGCTGACCCTGCGCTGTCTCACCTGCGTTTGCAGGTGCCTTGGCCCCAGCGTCTGGGTATCCGTGCACTGCAGGGCAGGGCACCATGTTGGAAGCGCCGTTGTCACAGGCCTTTAGATGGTACTGAGTCCGCAGTCAATTTTTTAAGCTTTAAGACAGTTAAAACCTGCTTCCTACTTGAAAGTTGCCGGTGCTTCTCGTTTAAAGTCCAGGTAGCGGCTTGTAAAGTACTACCTGTGTGTGACAGTGCGTGCCAAGCAGTGAAGTCGATTCCAGGAAGCAAAAATCCTTTTGGCAACACTGGCTGCGGTGGGACTCCCGGAAGTGCTGGCCCTCCTGCCATGAACAGCTATAAAGATGGGTGCGATACATTCCAGGCTGTTTTCAGACGTGGGAGCAGGGATGGGACCATGGCTCCTGCAGAGGGACGGCGTCCCTGCTGGTGGCCCGCGGTGTCCTCCAGCCAACAGCTGCAGCTGGAAGATAGCATGTCAGAAATAGTGGGGACCAAGCGTGTGGCCAGGGAGTTTGGGACGCCCATGGTGCCGAGCGGACTGACTGCACACTGAGCTGGGCACTTGTGGGTCCTTCTTTCCACCCGCCAGGTCGACCAGAGATGCCAGAGACCGCCGGGCGTGAAGAGCTGAGACATAGGGTCCCACCTACAGGAGGCCCAATCCCAGGACAGATTCCAGCCCTGCACTGTTCGCATGAGCCCCGGGCAGAGTGACCCTGCTCACCGGAAGGGCTGCTCCAGGTCCCAGCATGAAGGTCCATGGGGGTGGTGGGACTGAAGGGAGGGAGCCGCCACACTGTGACAAAGGGCTGAACACAGGGGAGATGCCCAGGGCAGGGACGAGGCTCCCGCAGCACTGACCTCTGAGCTTTAGAAACGCCAGCTTTCCCTGAGGGGAAGGCTCTGCAACCCCAGAGCGGCCCGGGTCACCCTCGGCTCTTAGCACTGTGGGAGACTGCAGGGCCAAGGTCACCGAGGGAGTGCGGAACTTACACGTATTATGAAAGTGTTTAGGCAAATACAGACCCCAGGAGAACGTCACACCCAGCAGAACCACCGCCTGCCAGCGCGGTGCACGAGCGTCCCCGACCTCCCACGTGGCTGTCTGGCCTGCTACCCGAGGCAGCGCCCTGTTGCCGTGTTTTCACGCTCATGCAGGAGCACGTGTGCAGGGTCCCGAGCAAAACGTGTGTGGTTCGGCCCAGTACCGCCACCTTCCCCGCTGTGACGGCGCTGGCTCCGCGGGACAGTTCGTCACCGTGTCCGGTCTCTGTCACCCTGGCATGCGAGAGCACTCCTCTCAGGTCAGGGCTCTCTGTCCTGTTTGCATAAGGTCGATCCCTTCCCTACGCCGGGACTCCGCCTGGCTCGTGAAAGAGTCCCCCTGACACACTTAAAGGAAAGAAAAAGAATAGGGAAACAACTGGTCCCAAGCCGGGAGTAATATCCACCCACGGGGCATAAAATATTAGGACAGTCTTAACGCCACTCATCTTAGCCAAGTTTCTAATAAATGTGGATTTTCAGAAACAATTACTATTTATGTATCAAAAATGACAGTCGGTTTCTGATGAACTGTTACTAATTACAATGATCACTCAATCTGGAAAAAAGGCACGAAACGTGTGGAGAGTGTTTAAGAAAAGGAAAACTTGAGGCGACTCTACGTGCATTTCCTGCTGCACAAACCCTGAGGGAGACTGAGCTCCAGCAGACTTTTCAGGCCTAACAATTATTATGTAAGATTTCGTGTGGGGGGGGTCAAAACACGAGAAAACACACGATGCACTATTACGATTTAAGGCAGAGTGTATGCACGCAGTCTAAAAATCGATGTGAGTTTCAAGCTCGTAGGCTGGCTAGACTTCAGGGGACACATTTAAAAACGTGATTTCCGTACTGTGGACACGTGCCACACGCTGAAGTGAGGTCTTCCGACCGCATCTCTGTACAGATAGCCACTCTAAACGCCAGCCTGGGGACGCGAGGGTCTGCGTAGCTGCCGAGCTCGGAGGCATGAAGGGCCGTGCTCAGAAAGGGTGCGCTCCTCGCGTGGCTCTCCGACAACCTCTGTTTCCCAGATGGGAGTCCTTCGCCTGGGGCAGGAGGGAGGGAATGCGAGCCACGGCGCAGCTCCGAGGGCACCTCCTGCCGGCGGGGCTCGCAGGCCCCGAGTGCAGGGAGAAGTGTAGCTGTGACCACACAGCGCGCTGAGGACCCTCCCGTGGCCCATCTCCCCACCCGATGCAGCCCCTGGCACAGCCTCGGGATCACCCCGGATGGACTGAACCCCGATGGGGCAGGCCCAGCAGTCCCGTTTAAGAAGTGCTCCAAGTGATTCTGATAGACACAGACGTTTGAAAACCTGTGTCGGGCCAGCCAGTGGCGAGGTGGCCAAGGCAGGGATCCCACGTGGCCAGCTGCAACCGAGTCCAGGACCCAGTGGCTTGAAAAATGCACTGGGGCTGTGTGCGAGCCCAAAGCCTGAGAACGAGGAGACGGGATTGCAGCCTGCCGGGCCCTGGGGCGTGCTTCCTCCCCTCCCCTCTCTGTCTCTCCCTGGCAAGTGCGAGTGCCTGACAGCAGACAAAGGAGAGAGGGAGAGACCCTCCGTCCGGTTTCCCAGCAAGGCACAGTCCTTCCTTCTGCGCTCTCTGCTCACTCCACGAAACAGCCCTTGCCTGGTAACGGGGAGCCCGGACCTGCCCGGTGTCCGCAGGGGCCCGCTGGCTCTGCAGTCCGGCCTCCGTGTCCTCACAGCCAGCTCCAGGAGGAGCTCAGACGTGCATAGGTGGGATTCGGGGGCAGAGGGGGTGTGATACGACCGGTCCACGAAATCCCAGTGCGCCACGGTGAAATCCCACGTGTAGTTCATACTGGCGCCTGAAAACAACCAGCCCTGCCCAAAGAGAGACACAATCTCCTAACACACAAATAAATTCTATTCCTCAAATATAAAAATGCAAATGAGAAAACAGCATTTTTGTCAAAAACTGAAAAAGGGAAAAAGGAGAGAGTGACCAGTATTACAGGGCTGGCAGGACTAGGACAGCGTTTCCATCCGTGGCGAGCCTGGGGTCCTCCGAGGGTCGCTGGGGAGCGGACGGAGAACCACCCTCTACCCGAAGGCTGCCTGCAGTAACTGCGCGGGGAAGTCTCCCTATGAGGGCGCTCATTTTAGGATGGGTGATTTAACACAAGTTGTCCTCAGCGGCCACACAGGCTAGGTGCTGCCCTTGCTGCACCCCTGCCCGGCCGCCGCTGGCCCTGGACCCCACAGCTGCGCCCTCCTGGTGGCTGCAGCCGGCTGCGCCTGGCGCCCCCACAGCCCCCCGCTCTCAGCGCGCCCGGCTCGGAGTTCCCGGCGTCTCTGCTGAATGCGATCCACGATGCCACGTGCAAAGCCTCCCCGCCCTGCAGGGGTGCGGGCTCCGGGAGGCGGGACTGTGCGGGCGGCGCCACCTGGTGGCCCTCGGCGCATCCGCCGGCCGCCGCGAGAAGCTGGTGGGGCCGCAGAGGCAGGCTGCAGGGCCTGGGGCTGCTGCGGCCCTCCCGGCTCTCCCTCCAGCAGCGCAGGAAGGGCTTCCAGGACAACCCTGCCTGGCTCTTCCGGAGAATCCCTTTCCTGGCCTTAAAATAAAGGTGTGATTTCCCCCAAAAACGTCTAGCGTGATGTTCCACATCGCCCCCAGCAGCACGGCAATGGCGGAAAGATGGACGCAGGTCTGCCTCCTGCTGGGAGCTGCCGCGGAGCCACCGCCCACTCCTGCTTCATAGGGGGCAGTATCGGAAGAAAGACCCCTTCCAGATCTGCACTGGACAGACCTGCAGGCCAGCAGGTGGCGTGCTGGGTAAGGCGCTGGCACCCACCGGCCAACCCGGCGGAGTCCAGGCCAACCCGACAGGCAGCTTTCTCTCCCTCCCTCTCGGGGGAGGGGTGCCACAAAGTTTTCAATAATAATTCTTAACAAGAAAAAGGGGAAATGGACCTGCTTGAGTGACTAAATCTAATTGTCAACCTGGTGGCTTGAGAATCACACCAGGTATGTGTGCATGCGTGTCCTGAAGTGAGAGAGGAAAACAGAGACGGGGCTGTGGCCTGGCCATCGCCCGTGGGGACGTACAGTTCTTTCTCACTGTCTCTGACAAGTGCACATGCCGATGGCCACACAAACCATCTATAAAAGAACAGGGAGGCTGCTGGCGGGCTGCTGGGAGCCAGAGACCTTCTGCAGGCCTCACTGAGAACACAGCGGTGTTGGGGGCACCTCGGTGCCATCCAGGCACCACACCCCGACGGAAGGAGACCACCCAGTGGCCTGCGGGACGGCGGATCGCCCGCCCACGTCTGCACCCCTGTGTCCCGCGGCTACGTGACCCATAACGGGGACACTGACATGGATGCAGAAAGCGAAGTAAGTTTCATACACACTTTCAGAATGTTTGTTCATTCGACGAGAGACAGAGAATGAGAGACTGAGAGACAGGCACTGCCTTCCCCGGTTCCAGGCGCCCACACCCTGCGTGCCCGGGCGGTCCTGGGTGTGGGTCTGGTCGTACAGTTCCACGTGCTCCTGATAAAATGAGACCCCTGGACTGACGGGCACCAGGAGGCGGGACTGCGCGGGCGGTGCCACCTGCAGCGGCGTGTCTGTCACGGGCTCCTGCAGGACGTCGCTGTTCCCCAAGCGCAGCTCCCACCTGCCGGGTGGAGCCCCATGACCGTGGGCCTGGCAGTCCGTGAGCCCGGCCTCGCGACCTGGAAGATCTGTTAGAATCTGTTTCTGAACCGTCTGGACCAGGTAACTCTTTGGGGAGCACTTCTTCAGCTCCCTTCCTGGTGGTTTCTATGGTTACCAATCTATTCAAATCTTTGACGTATTCTCAGTCATTTTAATTATTTATATATATTTCCCTTTTTTTTTTTTGGAGAGGTTTTTGCTATAGGGCGTGTGCGCTTGCCAGACAGACAGAGAGAGACAGAGAGACAGCGAGAAATCACCCCCCAGGGGAGATGGCCACGCCGCAATCCCTTCTCCTCCATTCTCCTCTTGGGATCTTGGCCATGCACGCACACGCGCCCGGCGTGAGTTTTAAGCCACCGGGTCCGGGACTCGAACCACGGTCGACTACATGGGAGTCCAGTGACACAGCCATTACGCTAACTGCTGGTCCCCTATTTCCCGTTTTTTAAAAACATCTCCGACTCCTCAGATTATCCTTGGTTCGCTTCACGCTGTGCTCTGGCCTTACTTCTCCCATGCATGTTCGCCTAGCTTGGCCGTTCACCTTGGCAAACACGCCGACCCAGTCCTGTCACTCGCAGACAGAGCCAGCGTCGCCCCCGTGCTGCGAGGGTGAAGTGGTATGGCCAGTTGGCGAAGAGCGTGGCAGTCTCTGAAAAGAGGTACCTGTGCCACGTCAGCTGTGCGGGATCGGTGTGTCCCCATGTGCTAGTGGTGAGGACAGAGAGGCTGGACTGTGCCCCAGAGCGAGTCCTCAAGGGGAGAATAAAGGAAGGGCTCCCTGGGGCCCGGGTGCTCTCCTGGCTCCGGGCCTACATTGCTGGTCCACGTGCTGCCCCGCCCCACACAGGCCGACAGCTGATCCGAGCTTGTCCTCTCCTCGTCGCGGCTCAGGGATACACTTACCGAGCTGACAGTATTTGCTCACTCTGCTTTTCAGAGATGATGTATTTAAACTCTCCAACTAATTTAAATTTAATTTTAACAAAGAAGCACTTTGCACGTTGCTTTACTGAAGCTAGATTCATCGTCCCCGGGACACTGCAGTGCTCAGGGTTGGTGCACATCTGGTAATAACCGTGCCGGGTTTAATTAAACAGCAAATCATTCGGTCAGCAGCAGGGGTGCTCCCACACCCACAGGCGCAGCCACCGAGCACCCAGGGCCTCATCTGGAGACACTTGGCCTGCCCTCTGCTCCACGGCGCCATCTGAGAAAGCGAGGGCTTTCCTGTGACGTTGGGGTCACGGCCCGAGTGGCCAGGGGAAGGAAGGAGTCGGCGGCGTGTCTCTTCACGTGCAGAGGAAGTAGAAGAAGAAAGAGGAGGCAGAAGGGACAAACGGGACGCATTGCCGCATTCCCGGGCAGGCTTTCCTGCTCTCTCCTGATACGGCAAGACTTCCCCTCAGCTCTCCCACACCGAGCAGAACGGACTGACGTGCTGAGATTGGGCCAGCAGGTGGCGTGCTGGTCAAAGGCGCCAGACTCCCACAGAGACAACTGCAGTTCAAGTCCCGGACCTGGTGGCTTGCTTTCTTACTTTCCCTTTCTCTCCGTCTCTCTCTGATCAAATTAAGAAATAACAACAATAATAAATATAATTAAATAATTATTTAAAAAATTTAGTGGGAGCAGTACTATTACACCGGATCCTCCAGGAGCCCATGTGAGGCCGTCCATGTGCCTGAGGCACACCCAGTACCTTTAGGCCGAGCGCATCCACCATGCACCCATGAGT